ATTGAACATTAATATGATGCCTCTATCTATATTTAAAAGGATAGTTTTAGCCGATATTATTCCCACTACTATAACCCTTTAGTTAGCTGATCGATCTATCATTTATCCAAAAGAGGTTATACAAGATGTGCTTATATTTAGTGATTTTCAATGATATTGCACTTTAAGGGAAGGTATTTTGTATATTTTTGGTTCCGGTACAGAAAATGGAGTTTTGAAGAAAAAGAAGAAAAAAGGATGCAATTTTGAGCGGATGCAATTTTGAGCAAAAAAAAGCAAGAAAGAAAATTGTCCTCGCACATTTTGATATGACTTTCTATGCTTAATCTCATTTACACTTCTCACACATTTTTGAATGAAAATACACTTTAAAGAAAGGTTGTTTTATGCTTATTTTGTAGATCGATCTGTTAGGAACGCAACGGAACAGAAAAGTGGCAAAACGGAGCTAAAATGGTGGAGCTGCGCAGGGTGGGCACCAGCAGCGCCAGAGCCGGTGCTGGCCATGCTGAAAATCAGAAAATAATGAGAAAATGGTGCCGACAGCGCCAGGGATGGTCATGGATCAATTTTTGGCAGTTTTTGATGTTCTAGTAGGCTCCCACATGTTTTTCCCAAGTGATTCAAACACCCCATTAAACAATTCAATGAATCTCGACACTTGGATAAGACTCTTGAATGAAGAGACATGTCTTTTGGATGAATAGATTTGTCACTTAGAAAAAAGGAGGGAATTTGTGTCTCATTAAAAAAGAGGGCTTGACACCTCTCATGTGCATGCGTGCGTGTGTGAGGGTGTGTGTCAGTGAGAAAATGTGAAGAATGTATAGTGATCTTAGAATAGAAGTAGAAATGTAGATTTCTACCTTTTTTGGAGAGATTGGTGGGGGGATTTTGAGAGAATTTGGGGGATTTTGAGAGAAGGGGATTTTGAGAGAATTTGTAAGGGAATGTTTGAACATTGCATGAATCGGCGAGAGACTTTCTTGGAGAGATTTTCATCTTTCTTTCCAAGGGAAAAAACTAAGTATTGTGTTCTTTATTATCTTATGATTTTATAAACACTTATCTAGTGGATTTGTATTGATATAATGAAGTTTTTTCGCTGTATTTTCTTCGTGCTTTGTGATGTGTTTTTCTTACTCTTTCTTCTTCTTAGGAAATAGTGGCATGAGAGAATTATGTCATTATTTTCTTTTTACTTTTCTTTTACAATGAGTA